ACCTGGATGTTTCCTCTCTGCCACATGAGATTTCAGATTAATGGTGGGTTTAGAGATTGGTATTTTAGGAATTCAGTTCTGTCACATTTGTGTGCTCTTAAATTTCTTGTCAGTAAGTCAGGCAAGCCTTACTTAAACCTTACTGGCAAGAAAGGTAAGAAGGAACCTTGCAGGTGGTGGTGTGAAGGCTCCCTAGATGTCTTGTGACTGTCTTTTCCAGAGGGTATAACACAGATTCCTCCCAGGAAAGGAATTTTGGGATATACTCTGTTGTCTAGCAAGGTGTAACTGTTTTCTAATAATAATTAATAATTATTAATAATAATAATAATTTTTTCTTTCTTGTAGATAAACAGAATTGGCAACTACTACAAGCCGTGGTTCTTTAAGCATGTGGAGAAGTATTTGAAAGCTGACAGGACTGGAGTAGAATACATTCCTTCCAGACATTATTACCACAGACATACTCGCAGTATCTTCTGGGAGCTCCAAGTAAGACCAGTTCCAAAATTCAGATATATCTGCAGGAAGGTACTCTGCCCTTTCACAGTGTAGGTACAATGTACCTTCTTCCCCTTGGCAGCAACTTCTGTCTTTCATGGCAGAAAAAAAACCAGCAAAGTTTATGGCAAATTTACAAGTCCTGCATTTGGGTACAGCAAATCCAAAGACAGTTCTTCACATATAAGGCGTTGTATCAGAAATTCCTAATTTTTGGTTTAGTGCTTGTCTGAATTTAGACCTAAAGTGTGTATTTCAGCATTAAATTTTCATACCTACTGAGTGATTTTCGAATTCAGATGGTGGAAAAAACATAAATGTGAAATTCTGATTGAGAAACTGCCCCACCTAAAATAATTATGTAGTCAGGTCATTACTTAAAATTTCATAATGGTATTTATTGTTGTGTGTATTTAAACAAAATTTTATTTGACATTATAAATTATTCCTGTTACTACATTCTGAATCTCTGGAGTGAGGTACCAGATCCTTTCAGCTCCTGCAGAAGGTAAACAGGAGTTGGCTGTGCAGGCGGTAATTGAAATTTTACAGCTTTAAAATGCTACTGAGAAATTTGATTACTCGTGCAAAACTTCTGTAAGGTTAGCTCCTTGTGCACTCCTCCCTTGGCTGTTGCAAGATAATAGCTTGTTGCTCTCTGAACTTTATGCTTTGAAATTATGAGTTTGGGTATGTTGTGATTCACACAAGTGAAAATCTGTGGTAACCAGAGGAGGCTTGGGGCAAGGCTCCATAGCCAAGTGCAGTCCAGGCCCCATTAATTTGTATTTGAGTACTTCAGCAAAGTATCAGCAATTAAATTTATTGAAAATCTGCCTTAATATTACCCTGAGGACTCTGAAGTGCTCTTTTGGTCAGCTTGCACATTCTTCAGTCAAACTCCTTTTCTTTCCTCTTTGAAGGATATCATTCCTTTTGGCAATAACCCCGTGTTCCGTTACCTGTTTGGCTGGATGGTCCCCCCAAAAATCTCCCTGTTAAAGCTCACCCAAGGAGAAGCCATTCGGAAGCTGTACGAGCAGCACCACGTTGTGCAGGACATGCTGGTGCCAATGAAGAGCCTTGAAAAATCAATCCAGACCTTCCATGTTGACCTTAATGTAAGAATTCTCCTTAGAACGCAGCAAATCTTGGGTTGTTTGTGATAAGAACTGTGATTTTTAATCTTCAGACATAATTCTCTGCTTGTGCAAAAGGTCATTATTGTGTCCTAGAGAGTGCTGTGCTTTGTGAGTCCATGATGCAAGGCTGCAGCAGAAATAAACACAGCTTTCTGAAAAAAAGAGAATTAAATAAAAGATTCAAGCTTTGGTAGGAGCCAACACTTCTGAAAGATTTTATCACTTACTAAAATTTAAACTGATCTTCACCTAAATGATTGATGGTCTCTCTAAACACCAACTGTGGAGCTTCATTTCCCTTTCTTGATTTTATTTCTGAATTTATTTTAGTTAGTGTAGAATTTCAATTTTGGACTGACCTGGAAAAGAAAACGCTTCCTTCTCTTTTTGCTCAGAATGTTTATTCAGTTGTTGCTTTGAGATCGGGGGTGGTTTGTTTGTGGGTTTTTGGTTTGTTGGTGGGTTTTTTTTTCTTTTTAATTTCAAATATTTAAGGGCAGCAGATGTAATTCCAGGAGGATATTTTCAATCTATTTGTGTTATGGTCATTAGAAAGTCCAGCTAAAAACACTAGCAGCACAGTTGGGAAGGAAGAGCTGAAAGCAAGGGTTTCAGTCTGAGATTGGGAGGAAGTTCCTTTAACTCGTCATTTTGCTACATTTATTAAAGAGTTTAAAGGATGATTGTCTTAAAAAATAAGTGATAAAGTGTCTTCCTGCCCCTGCAGGTGTACCCTATTTGGTTATGTCCTTTCATATTGCCCAACAATCCTGGTATGGTCCATCCCAAAGGAAATGAAACCGAACTCTACGTGGATATAGGAGCTTATGGAGAGCCCAAAAGCAAACAATTTGAAGCCAGGGCTTCAATGAGACAGATGGAAAAGTTTGTAAGAAGTGTGCATGGGTAAGGACCCCATCCTCAGAATACTGATAATGTCATATAATTCACACCTGCGTGGTTTAATCACAGTTATTTATCCCACAGAACTTGTTATATTAATGCAATATTAAATATTAAAGTACAATAATTGAAAATAATTTAAATTTAATTTTAATTTAGTTATCTAATTTTAGTGAGTTTTAAATATGATTTCACTTCATTATTTGATTGCAAAACCAGCCAAACAAAAGGACACACTGGCTGAAGTTCTTGTGGCGTACTGGGAGCTGGGTGACTTCAGATCACCTTTCAGCTCCAGGCTACTGCAGGAGTAGAGTCTGCTGCTACAAAATACATCCTTGGAATACATCATTCAGGAATCCCAAAAGTTTGGACAGCTTCCCTGCCTGCCCTTGGGACTGCTGTCCTTGCAGCATCATGGGGCATCTCTGTCCTGTCCTTGCACCAGGATGTCCTTGCCCAGGGGGCCAGCCTTGGCTGTCCCTGCACTCAGTCCCTGTGTGCTGCTGGCATTCTTTCCTCCCTCAAAACTTGTGCTCCAGAGCTTCCTTTTCCCTGCCTGGGCTCTCATTACACAGGACCACAGTGGGCGTGAGGCATGTGCCCACCATCTGTCACGGACTCGAGCCAGCCTAATTTGCTGGAGCGGTGTCAGTGGAGAAGCAGCCACAGGCTGGTTTCTCAGGAACAAAAAGCAACTACACAGTATTTTTACACCATCAGTATAATTTATCCCCGTTTCTATTTTGACCTACTTCTCAGGCTAACAGTGATCATGTCCCATGTGGCTGAGCAATAATGGCAAGGCTGCTTCGAGATGATTTGGGGACTGCAAATGACTTTGAGCTGCAAGAAGTGATTTGCCAGAGAACAAAGCAACCCAAAGTTAATTTTAAGCTTTTTTTTTTCTCATTAATTTGAAATTAAGATTTTAATTTAAAGCTGTTTCCTGACGAAGTTTGGTCTGTTTTCTACCTGTCACTGGGAAATGAACAGTGGATAAATGCTTAATCTTCCAGTTTCATAATCACACAAAACAATAGAGCTTCTGTGTTAGGTTGTGTTTTGCTGCTGTACTCTGAGGGTAGCTGCAGCTTAGAGAGCACAGTATGGAAGTGAGGAAGAGTCCACAGCTGAAGAAGGATTTAATTTGTGAATGGACCTTTGTTACACCATGCTTTGTTCACACTCTGAATTTATCTTCTTGGCCTGGTCTCATTTGGTGGTGTCTTGCCTTCCTAGTTCTATTCTCAGTGTCCAGAGAAATGAAAAAGTCAAAGGATGTATTGTTACATCTGTCTTGAGTAGATATTGTAATGCAGGCAAATATGAGATTCTGTGACTGTGCCTACATGGATCCTAAGAAAATAGGCAGAAAAAATATTAAATCCATAAAACATAACTGTAAAACGTAATCTATGTGAGCTATTGTATTTGCTTGTTTTTAAAAAGCATTGTTGATGTTTTTGTTTTGTTAAGTATTTGCTATTCATAGCTTGCACTGAATTTTCTTTTAATATTCTATATCAAAACTTGTGGCTCAATTAATACTGAATCTCTGTCTCTTCTTTTTCCCTTCTCTCCAGTTTCCAGATGCTGTATGCAGATTGTTACATGACCCGTGAGGAGTTCTGGGATATGTTTGATGGCTCGTTGTACCACAAGCTGAGGGAGGAGATGAATTGCAAGGATGCCTTTCCAGAAGTGTATGACAAAATCTGCAAAGCTGCAAGGCACTGAGCCTGGCTGAGCTCACCAAGCAATCAGGGAAAGAGGAATTTACCTATAGCTAGTCAGTATATCCTTTAAAAAAAAAAAAAAAGCTTTATTGCTCTCCAAATAAGCTCATTCTTATTGATGTTTAAAGGTATGAATTCCTGCTTTACACATTTATGTTTAGTATTTCTTCGTATGTTTTAAAATCGGTTTTCCAAACTCAGAGTGATTGTTTTTAAGAAATCTGAAGTGCTAGCCTTTGTATCTGATGTAGTGACATAGGTGAGTTCACCTATTTCCAAGCAGAAGAAAAACAATGGGAATGGATGAAGACACTGGAGTTAGAACAGCTGTGTAGCACAGCTATATTTAACATGACTTCTGAAAACAGGAGGGAGGGCTCAGAAATAGGTGCCAAAGCTGAACACATTGTCTAATTAATCATGTTGTTAAAAACATTTGCCTCCAGTCAGTGTCCTGTAGAGCAGCTCTGCAGTGGCTCATCCACACTCCATCATCCTCCAGCTGTGTGATGGTGGTGCTGGGCTGCTCACGCTGTCCTGCAGGGCAGCTGAGCTCCCCAGGCCTGGCTTCTGCTGGAAAACTGAGCATTGAGGTGTGAAGAAGATGCTTTTTACTTGTGCCTATCAGATTTGTACTGATTTTGATTATGAAGTGCGAATGGATGTAGGTTTTTAGGTGTTTTGTAGTTGGCCGACAGTGCATTGGTTTTTTTGCCCCAAAGTATCAATGTTCTGGCTTTGTAGACCACTGAAAGAAAAAAAACAAACAAACAAACATTGCTGCTATTTTATATAGCCAAATTTTAATTTCTGTGTGGGTCAGTTTATTTGGGTTTCTTTTGGGTTTGTGTTTTTTGGTTGTGGCTTAATTTTAGTGCCTTATAAGTACTCAGTTGGAGGAAGATATGGCTTATCTCAGACTGTTCTGTCCTGGCCTGTAGGAGAAGGAAGCCAAGGCTGCCCTCATAGGAGGTTTGTTAGAGCAAGTGGCTGTGGATAAGAACTCTGGATGTGAATCTTGATACACACAGGCTTCGGTTCTGACTTGAGTGACATTTTTGCTTTTCATTTTAGCTGGTTTAGGTTGATAGGCTTTGTAAAAGGACTGTTTCAGTCACCTGGAGAGGAAATAACAGCAAGCACTGTTAGTTCCCTCTTCTGCTGCTCGCAGGTGAAAATGGCACAGTCGTGGACTTGATACAGTTGGGTGTAGAAGTGTGGAAATGTTTTGGCCCTGTCACCAGTATCAGGGTTCCAAACCAAGCCTGTATCTTGTCCAAGCAGTACTGAAAATTGTTACTTGAAACCTTACTGAGCCTGAGGGAAAAGAAAGTCATTTTCTTGAGGCTTGTGTAGGGGGTAACAGGGAGAACTTCTCAAACAGTTACCAGTGGGAGGTGTAATTTTATTATGTGTGCTAAACCAATGATTTTATTTATTGATAGATGGATGTTTAAGGTCCAGATGAAACCAATGATAAAGCAGTAGCAGGAATAAGCTTGGGCTGTAACTCAGTGATGCTCACCATGTGCAAGTTAAGGTACCCCCTCAAATCCTGCACAGGGGCAGCATTCCACGGGGAGACACAGCCAGTGCAGAGTGTCCTCAGTGCTGCCCGAGCCGTGGAGCTGTGTCAGTGATCCAGGAGTGGCTGCCACACCTCCTGGCTGCACCAGGGGTACACGGGAAGGCAAGTGTTGATTCTCAGGGTGTGACCTGCCTTCCTGCCCCTCTTGGGAATTGTCCCTGGGGTGAAGCTACGATTTAGCCCAGTGCTTTTATGATAGCCTGCACAGAGCAAGAATGGTTTGGTTAGCTTTGAAAGGGCAATGTTAAAACAGCTAGAGGATATGCAAATACTTCTACTTAGGCTGTGTTTCACTTATGTACTGATGATCTTTAGGTATGCACTGTGTTTGTTTTTTCACTCCTTAATTTATTGGCAAACTTTGTATGCCGTGATTGGGTACTGCACTGTATCAGTCACACACATCATTGCTGTTGCTCTTGGTTTTTGGTTGTACGGGCTGTTGAAAATAAAGCTCTGGCCGGCGTACTGTTCCAAGGGGTGTCTTTTAATGAGTGATTGCTTGCTTTTCAAACAGCTGTTTATCATTTCTCTCTCATGCTTCTTGTGTCGTTCCACATGACTGGCGATTATTGAGAAAAGTCTGGGTGAGAGACGCAAGGCATTGTGAGGGAGGTGGTGTGGGAGGTGATGTTTGTAGAAATGTCTTTGAAGTCTTCAAGCCTTCACTTATCTTTCCCCCAAGACACACCTGCAATAAAAGAAACACCTCATGGCAGAGCCTTTAACCCTTCAGTGATGCCCCACTAGCTCCACACAGCTTCATGATGCCAACTGCCATGATCTTTTACACACACACACTTCATTCTTTCCCTGTGACATTTTCTCCAAGGAGAACAAACCCCCATTTTGCATTTAGATGCTAGCCATTGACAATGGATAGTTACTTCATTCTTCTCATTTCATGCTAATAAATCTAATCCCTGCCTTGAATGAGCAGCCAAAAGAGAGAGTGAAGACTCGGTGCACTCTTCAGCCTGAGGAGTTTCACACCCATCTCTTCTGTCTCCTTGATAAATACCTTCCTGGCAGCTCTGTAGGCTCAGAGGGAGGTGTTCCTGCCCCTCCCTGATCACAGCTGGTACACCTTCTTCCAGGCTCTACACTGCTCTTTTCCCAGGGAGAAATCCAGGCTGCCAAGTGCCTCAGCCCTGCTGAAGTGGCAGTTCAGGTTCCAAAGCCCTTCCTTGTTTTAATCTCACTCTGTGCTGGCCTTGGCTTAGGCTGCATTTCACAACCCTTCTTTGTTGCCCAGCAGCATTTCTGTACCCTCCCTCACCCACATCACTGCTCAGGCATTTCCCTTCAGAGATCGACTCCAGAACAATAGCCAGGATTTCCTCAAATTGCTGCAGCTCTACCTGTGTTCCATTATCTTCCCCCCACCCCACCAAATGATAATTGCAGATTAATTAGCACACTTAATCAGCCACAACTAACATGTAATTACACCTAGATTTAATTATTCCTGTCTGGTCTAAACACTTGCACAAGACCTGACAAACTTAACTGTAGGTGTGCCAATGTGTTCCCAGTACATTTTTGTGGCCAGCTGCTGGCATTTCCTGCTCATCTGACTTTCTCCATTGCCTCCAGGTTTTCATTCCCTGCTCATCTTTGCTATGGTAGCACTTTTTCAGACTCTGTGGAGTTGTGGTGGATCTGGGGCTACTCAGGTGTGGTAACACCACCCATAAAAGGTATGTGCAACTCCTCTAAGTAGTAGCAGAGCTTGGAAGGATGTGTTTAACCCTGAGTGGGCTGTGTGTGCTGTCACACCTTCCCTGGGAGGGTGTGCAGGATCTGCCATCCTCTTCTCATGAACGCAATTTCTCTCAAGTCCCAGCTGCAAATAGTTAATTACTGTTCAATTGCAGTGTCATTGCCCAACTCCTTTAAGTCTCTGTGTTCAGCCAGGAAGAGAGGACAGGGAATCCTTTCTGTCATGCTTCCTGTGGGCCCTATCTATCCCAGAGAAGGTACAATTCCAGCAGTTCCTCTCTCTTCTCCTTTGCTCCTGGGCCTCCCTGGGTCCCATCAGCCACTGTCATGTGAATTGCAGGCTCCTGGCTGCTCCTGAGGTTCCCCCAGTTTGAGAAACCCCCTGAGGACCAGGCTGATTGTGCCAGCACCAGAGCCACTCACCTCAGCAAGTGATAAAACAGTGGCACATCTTACCCATGTGAGCCCACCCTGCAGGGAAGGGAGGAGGACACAGCACCCACTGAGAGTCCAGCCAGTCTCCTCCAGGAGCAGCTCTGGCCACAGCAGGCTGTAAAGGGTTGATTATCCCTGCAGGTCTGAGCACACTCACCAGTCACCTACTGCCAGCTGCAGGGAAGGGCAGCAGTGTCACAACCTCCCCACTCAAGTGTAATCTGAAAGTTCCCCGCCAATTACGAAGATGTCTTGACCTCTTTCAAGCTGCCTGTTCCTCACTCAGCTGGATAAAGGAGAGAAGCCATGTGGATTCCTGCTGTTCATCCCTAGCCAAGGTGGACTATTTCAGACTAAAGCCTTCCCTGTCTGCTTTGAGCCCGTTAGGCTTTGTTCTGGTTCTCCGTGGGGAAGCCGCCAAGATGAATACAGCTCCAGGAATGGGTACTGAGGGAAGGGCTCCTACCTGCACTGGCTCTGCAACGTGCTGCTGATGCTGCTAGAGGAAAAACTGGCTTTTAAGCAGCAGAGTATGACTTTTTGGAGGATACAAGGAGCTCCTGGCACCTAAAAGGGCTCAGACCCGGCTGCTCTCATCCATGAAGTGCATCTGTTTGCTTGCAGGTGAAACAGAGCAAAACTAATGGGAAGGGTTGTCCAAGCATCCCTTGAAAAGGGCAAAGGCCTGAGGATGCAGGCAGAGGTAATGTGGTCACTGCTGATCTCCTGCCAGGCTCACCTGCCTGTGGGCAGTGTGTGCTTCATGCTGGGTGCTCAGCACATTCCAGCCAGGCTGCTCCCAGCTTGAGCTGCCTGTCCTGGACTGTCCTGTACAAAACGTCCCTGTGTGAGGAGCTGCTTCCCAGCGGGCACAGACAGTCTGGGAGGTGAGAAGAGCTACATGGGTAAGTCCAGCTCCCCCCACACATCCAGCTCTCACCCGGCTGCCCACGTCCCCAGGACTGCCTGCAGCCACATGCTGACAGCTCTGGTCCCCAGGGACCGCGGGGCTGGTGGCAGGCCTTGCCATGGCAACCATCACCGTGGCACCCAGCATCTCCATTCCCCAGGGAATGTCCCCTCCCCTGTGCAGGCAGGAAAACAGCAGGGTCCTGGCAGGGAAAAAACAAAGCATTGTCTGCTCAGGAGGAGCTGTCTAAAAGCACCCAAGGGTTACCCAAGAGGGAGCACCTGCACCTTGGGGAGCTGCCAGGCTGCAGGGGGTGTGCAGTAATTTTATATTCCCCAGCAACTCCCCAAGGAGCAAATCAAAGGCAGAACCTTTGATGGAGTAACCATCACTCCACTGGGCATAAAAACATTGTCCAGCAATTACAGTAATATTACTGGAGGGGATCAAATCAGCGAGCCAAGGGTGTGAGCCAGCACTGTGGGGTCACAGACCCTACAAGCTGTAGGAGCACATCCAGGGGTGGATGGAATGTGCCAACCCCAAGCCCAAACTGCAGATCCTCTGCAGGACAGAGAGAGGTTTGACCACTGAATGACTTGGCCTCTCACCTGCCCTGATCTCCCTAGCCCTGGGCTGGTGCTACCTGGGGATGCTGCTGGAAAGGGAGGAACCATTTTCCACCAGCCCAGTGGCTACTCTCACACTGACCCCTTGATCTCTCTGGTGCTGTGCCAGGGACTGATTCAAGACAGCTGCTATTGCCTGCTTGATCTTTCATTTATCTTCTCCCCATCCTCTGTGGTTTTTCTCCCGGAAATCCCTCGGGGCAAAGAGGGAGGCCCCAGACAGGAGCTGAGCCCCTCAGTCTCACCATGTGCAGGGCACGCCGCTCTCAGGCCACGCGTTTGGCCCCGCTGCCATAAATCAGCCCCAGCAGAGCAGCGGGGGAGCAGTTTGGTGAAAGGCTGCAGGGACAGCAATACCTTTATTAGGTTCCCCCAGCACAGCTGGAAAAAATAAGGAGCCCAGACAGGCTTTCAGGCACATAACACCTGAGCTGAGCCCCGCATTCAGTCCTGTCTGCTGATTTAATACGAGATCAGCTTTCCCCACAGACCACATCTTCTGTGTAGCCTTAAACCCTCCTGGTTAAAACGCTGCCCCGGCGAATCAATCCAAGCTGGTTTTGTCCCTTTGATCAGCACAGCAGTTAATAAGTCACCAATGGAAATGTGTTTCACTTCTCTGGCTCCAACAATAGAAATGGAGACAACCCTCCCGTCCTGAACTGTCTGGTGAAAATCTCACAATTCCTGGGCAAGCAGGAGATGGATAAAGGCATTTCCAGTGTGGCTCTGGAGATCCCCAGGGACGCGCAGCAGCACCTGGGTGTCCAAGGTGTGAGCAAATTCCCTTCCCACAGGGATCAATCCTGATCCTCCAGCCTCAGACAGCCACAGCACCTCTCCCAAACAGCATTGGCAGTGCCTGTCTTACTGTGGTGCCAAACACGTAGGGAGGAGTAATTGCCTGACAAAACCAGTGAAGGCTGGTCTGGGAGGGATGCTGCCACCTGTCAGCCAGGAAACCTGGGCCAGATCCCAGCTCTAGCACCGAGCTGCTGAGGGACTCCCACAGATCCCTCTGGGCACAAAGGATGTTGAGTCACCTTGCACAACTGGCTCAACTGTTTAATGACTTTAATGCTTCTAGATAACCTGGAGCATCAAAGATGTGCTCTTTAATTCCCTGTTTTTGCTCATTTCCAGCCTGCTGTAAAGGAGTGCACATGAGGAATTCATAGAAGAATTGTAAAGATTTTTTCAAATCCCATTTTAAAAACAAGGATTCGTTCTTATTTCCCTTTATTTAAACAGGATTATTTAACTCTTCATAGAATTGCTGTCTCCTCCTCCAGTACAGTACTTTACTACATGCTCCAGAGATGAAAAACTCCCTCTGAGCTGAGGGAGGAGGCTGAAAAGTGCAGTGTGGAGGTTGTCACTGGGTGGAGGCAATGTCTGTCTGCTAGACTGGATTGGAGAAAGCTGGAATGAGCTAAGAGGGTGGCTTTTGATCTCTCAGCCCTCCTTCAGGCACCCTCCAAGTGGTTCTGCCCCTGAACACTTGGGACATGCCGCCCCAGGACCGAGCCTGGAAGGGGAAGCAGATACACTCTTTGCTTTCAAAGACCCATTTTGTCCCATCCTGGCTCTATTTACTATTATTTACTGTTACACGAGGGTGGACATTGTGCAAGAACTATTTGTGGTGGATGAAAGTCCTGGGCCAAGCTGTGGAGTTTGACCTGGATGATGCCATTCCCAAGCTGCAGCTCCTTGGGGACAAACAGAAAACATTTGTCATCGAGTGCTTTGAGCAGGTCATTGACCTGGGCTCCACCGAGACCTTGTGGGGCCTCCTGCAGACGCCGCTTTGGGCAGGTGAGGATGAAGAAACAGTGAGACAGAGATGGAGCTGTGGATTAAGGAAAATAATTCCCAGTCGGTGCCTGTGGAGCTGAGAGCTGCCTGCCATAACCACACTCTGGACATGACCCAGCTGTCCAAAGCCAAGACCAGCGGGGAAGGATGGAGCTAGCAAAGGTGCTGTTTGAGGTGATAAAGGTCAGTTCTTCCAAGAGCAGGACGGACAAGTGGTCGCTGTCCCTCTGAGCCAGTGGGACGGCAGCAACTTCCACAGTAGCAGCCTCTCCCAGCAACCAGGACCTCCTCAGTTTCCCGAGCGCTTGTTAATTAGGAAGGGACG